ACTTCCTCCTGCTCTGAAAAGATCAACACCATTAAGTCTCAGCTCATGTATCTTCCACTAACTCTCTGGAGATGTCTGCACCTCACATTCAGGGTCAGGGAGGGTATACAGGAAGAGACCCTTACTTCAAAGAGCATGCCCTATGACTCTTCAAACCCTTCTAGAAACTTCTCCCAAGAGGATAACTATACAGTGAGGCAAAGATGTATGTATGAGATAATTACTGCATGCTATGATAAATCTGTGGGAAAATGTGAATAGCTGCTATGTCCATCAATAGAGAATTGCTTAAATAAAAATTATGGTAGTCACACTACAGAATGTTATGCAACCACTTAAAAATAATGTAGATCTATATTTATTGTCTGGGAAAGATACCTAGGTCCTTTTGTTGATTTAAAAATTGAACCCAGAGCCTTGTACATGCTAAGGATACACTCTACCACTGAGCTATACCCCAGCCCCTTTTATTTAATTTTTCAAGTATGTATGGCAGAATGAGATGGATAGGATCATCTAGCCAATGTGAAAAAGGTTCATGTGTAAATGTACACACTATGATTTCTGGAACAACCTTCATCTACATTTTGCCATTTATTATTCCTGAGTAGTAGGTGTACATGTGAGTGCTATTATTTCTTTTCTGAATTTCTACATTTTCTGGAAATAATGATTATGTATCACAAAAAGATCAGATGCAGCTAGAAATGTAAAAGTCTATGTCTTCCACATTTTCCCCTTTGTTAAGTCCCAAGGCAGAGACCTCCCCGGCCCCCAAGGCAGATCTCCACTCCCTACCTCCCTCATCACCACACTACTCTCTTCCCCTTCTTTCCTGCCCTTTGCCTTCAAACCAGCACAAGCCATGCTGACCTTGCAAGTCCCTACTCCCTGACCCCACTTCTCTCTCCACTGACTTCCATTTTTCCGCAACTTCTCAGGCCAGAGGTGTCCAGACCTTTGGTTCAATCTCTGCCTTCACCCTTCCCTTTGCAGCCTGGCTTTTTACCGAGCAGCGAATCCAGGCTGTTTGGGGATCAGCCGTCAATATATAGGTCATTTCCTCCTTCTTGGTACTCTCCTCACTTTCCTTGACCCCGCCCTCCTAGTTCTCTGCCTACGTTGATGACCACTCCTCTTGGCTCCATCACGACCTCATTTTCTTCCTCCCACCCCTTAAACGTGGAGAGTTCCCAACACGGGCTGCAGTCCTCAGAGGACGTCCTGAAGCAGCAGCCGCCAATGGGCTGCCTCCCGATGTACTCTTCCAGGACTCTCCAAGGCCGACAGGACACAACCAGAAGTCCTTTAGGTGGCACTCGAGGCTACCCTTGTCCCTCTGTCTCCCCTCCAGGCAAATCTCTCTTCCTACCATCACCAAACACGTTTCCCCCAAGGACCTCAAGTCCAGCTCTCGTGAACACTACTTCCTGCCTTTCCTGATCCTGCTCTCTCCGATCTTCAGCTTCTTCCTGCAGCCTTTCTGAAACCCTCCCCGGCTGTCAGGGACTCTACCAAATGCACTGTCCATGCTACTCATTGTCCTTTCGTTCCGTCGGTCTTGATTATTCAGTTCTCTTCTTGGGCGTGCCTGTCTCTCTCTGCTGTGTAGGCAGAAAGCGGCCTTGTTTCCCTTCCAGCTGGCACGTCTGCTCCCCCAAAGCAGGTAACCCATACTACATGTTGGCCGGCTGAAAAGCACGGGGACATCCCTGCTGACTGTCCAGCTTGGGTGCCGCTGGAGGTGAAGGTGTCTCGTCTAACCCGTGAAGAAGGTGCCTGCAGGACTCCAGCTAGAGAGGTTCACATTACTGGAAATGTGGGTCAGGAGCTCAGAGCAGCAAGTTTTGTCCCATCAGCCTGCTCCCACATACCCGGTGGATGAGACTAGAAAGACTTCTCAGAGACAGAGTCTTGTTAGGACCCCAAAGTCCAGGAACTTTGGCGTGTCCAGAAAAGCCGCAAAGGAACCAGACCACCCCATACTCTCTCCTTGGGAACTCCAGCATGACACTTACCATTCTTAGTCTCTTTTGAATAATTTGGGGCACATATCTTAAGTATCCTGCCAAAGGACACTTTCATGGCTGTTAGACGTCTGTAGATACATAATCCCTGGCGTCTGGCAGTTGGTCAGTGCATGTTACACAGAAGTATAAAATACCTGTGTTAGGTTCCAAGTGAGGATGCTTTGGCGTGATTCACGCCTTTTTAAGCCCTGTGGGGTTCCAGATGTATACAATAAGTAAATATCAGTGATCACCTGCAAGGGCCAGGGAAAACAGAAACCTCACACTCACGAAGCTCACATCCTGAGACCCCTGGGGTGAGACAATCTGCTTGGACAAGGGGACAGAGGCCCAAAGAGTTCCATGCCTGTCCCAGGAATAAAGCTGAAGATGGGATAGGACCAGGCTGACCTCAGGACTCCAGGGACCCCATCACACCAGCCCCACACCCATACTCTCTTTCTCACGCACACACACACACGCTAACCAAGAATAGGCAAAGTACATACGAGTGGCAGTCTGTCATGTTGCCCTGGGTGCCAGTTCTCACACCCAGAACAGCTGCTGTCCATGGCAACTGCTAAGCTCTCCACCAACACTTATTGCAAAGCAGAACCCTTTTCCTGTCTCACAAATTAGCCCTGGGATGGGAGTCTTCCGCATTAAACTACCCCAGCTGGATGGCAGGGAAATGACTGAGGGTTTGGAGCTGATCTCCAACATCCAAACCCATTGGCCTCCCAAAGTGGACCGTCTGCAGCACCAGCTCCCTGGCCTGCAGCCCTGCTTCCCCGCAGAATCCAGGTCGGGGGTAGAGGACCAGCCTGTCCTCTTGTGAGTTGATGGAGACTTCTCTTGGATGCCGGAGCTGGGTTTTCATAGACCCCTTCTCTCCCCGCGTGCCCTCTGCCATGCGGTATGGGCACTGCTTTTTGTGTCTACTTGCTCCTCTCTACCCTGGCAGCACCGGGGCAAGACTCTTCCCTGTCCCTGAAGGCAGGCAGCCGAGCACACGTCCCCCAGGGCCAAGGCCCAGGCAGCCCTGCTTCCCACTGTCTTTCTGCCCCCAAGTGGTGCTGAGGCTCAGAGCTCCTGGGCCTCAGAGACCACCCAGGAGCAGAATGGGGCCCAGAGAGGGAATGTGACAGAATTATGACCACTGCCCATGACTCCAGATCAACCATCTTTGCAGCAACCCAGATTGCTTCTTGGGTCTGTGAGCGTTCTCCTGTCCAGACCCTGTCACTGGAGGTGTGGAAACAGTTCCACAGATGGCCATTAATGGCTCAGACAAGCCGGCAGGGAGCTCTGAGGTGGGTTTGTCACCAAGGGCTGGTAGCAGCTGCATGCCTCCTAGGGTTACATGGGAGAGGGGCCAGATGCCAGCCAGCTGCCTGAGAGGCCGGGTGGGCAGGGCTGGCTGGAAGTGGGCAGAGTGAGCCCTGGCAACCTGCCCTGGTGGGCTGTGCCACTCAATGGGTATTTTCTTGTCGAAGTACCTTCTCGCCCACCGCCCTTTTCCATCATAAAAACGACACATCACCCTGCTTGTTTTGAGCAGGGCACCACGACCCTTTGCCAACAGACGTAATTGGAAGATTGGTGGGGCCTGTGGAGGAGTGTGAGAAGCTGGCCTCCCTCCGGAAAAGGCCTCTCCAGAAGGGGCCCCGCCCTGCTCTGAGGGGCACTCATGTTGCTTTTCCCACTCCAGGCAGAAAAAATCCCACTTCTCCACAGATCCCAAAGTCAAATATTTGCTGTCCAGGTCTGCCAGTTCCATCTCAGGTGGAGGTGGCGGCTCTTCCTGGCTGCCTGGCAGGGAACTGTACTGGGCACCAAGCTGGCCTACCTCTGAAGCGCTGCACCCCGCAGGGCTTGGGGTGTCATGGGAGACCACTGAGGGTTTCCAAAGAGCTGCTCTCCAAGCCTCAGCGGCTGGGAGTTCCGCCGGCACCAGGAGCCTGCTGCTCTGAGCAAGGGAAGGAGATGGAAGGCAGAGGGCTGCTTTCTGGGAGTGTCAACCTCCTGCCAGCAGCCTGGAGGCCTGAGGACCTGAGGGCGCAGGTGCCTGCAGATGCCCATTCACTCCAGCTCTTTGTGCCTCTTTCTCATAGGCTCCGGCCCCTGTCTGTCTTCCCCCGCTGTATTTTCTCTTACGGCGTTTGTCTGGAATGTTGGTGGAGCCCAAACCACTCTGAGAATGTGCAGCATCTTACCAGCCTTGCCAAGGGCCAGGGCAGCCTGTGGCCTGCAGGCTCTGCTAAGTTATGGCCTAAGAACTTTCCAGAACCTTTTGCTAATAGCCTGCCCTAGGCCTGCAGACCAGGGAGGGGAGAGCTCAGAGATGTGGCAGCTAGGAGCGGGCCCTTTGTGGGTAAGGGCACAGCCAAGAGCACTCCCCGAGGTTGATTATAACTCGCGTGGCTCATCCCAGACACGGCGAAGCCATCAGGGAACACAGGCATAAGGGGCCAGCCCTGGGGGAAGGAAGCAGCAGAGAGGCAGCGGGTATCCTGGCCTGGAAGTCAGGAGTCCCGGGCTCTAGAGCCCCCAACCAGCTGTGAGGCTTACGCAAGTCACTTCTGCACAGCATCAGCTATATCATTTCTGGTGCCCAGTGCTGAATGAAAGTGAGAAGTCCCTTGTTTAAAAGTTATGAAGAGGGCTGGGGATGCAGCTCAGCGGCACAGCTCCTTGCCTGGCAAGCGCAAGGCCATGAGTTCAATTCCTGGTACCAAAATAAATAAATGAATAAATATTATGAAGATTTCAAGATGGCACCACCACAGCATGAAGCCAAGTAGGGGGCCCTGTGGACTGTGTGGTCACGCATGCACCAAGCCAGCCCTACCTCTTCGGGCATCAGTTTCCTCAACTCTACAAGGTGGAGGCTATGTTCAATCAGAACTTTCTCTGCCAAGCCCCTTTCTTCAAAGCTGCTCTGGCTGAGCTGACTTGGGAGGTCTGGACCCCATCTGGCCATCCCCATACCTTCGTCAGCAAGATCTGAGAGCACAGCGCAGAGCCCTGCAGATAGTGGCCAAAGTCATTTTCTGTTTTAAACAGTAGATCATGAGGTTCTTGTGGCTAGTACTGCAAAACATCTGCGGAGGCCGCTACTGGACTACTGAAAGGCTCCGGAGAGGTACCAGCCATCCCCAAAGGTTCCTGTCCCGCACACGACTCCTGAGTCTTCTTCCACCTTAGCCTGAAAATGAGCTTGAAGACCAAGCATGCTCTTCAGGAAGACCCTAGGACAGAAAGGCCACTCAGGACCTCGGAACCCTGGACGGTGGGACCACATTGGCTCTAATTTCCATCTCAAGAACTGGCTGCCAGGGTCACCATGGAGATGACCTCTGACTTTAGGACAGTTTAGTTCTGGCCCCAGCTGCTTTGCCCCTGGTCAGAGGGTAGGGAGGTCAGGCAGGGTTCAAAGGAAGAAGTGTAAGTGGTGGAGGAGCCTCCGGGGCCTGGGAAGGCAGAAAGCTAAGTGGGGCTGCGGGAGCCCCTGGGATGGGCCCTCCGGCAGGGGAGCCACAGGGTCAGAGATTGGGCTGGTGACACCTTTCCGTGCTGACTGCCCCAAGGGAGCAAACTTTTCTGGACTTTAAATTTGTTTTGGAGGGACAGAGCAATGGCAGTGAGGGACCAACTGCAAAAACCAGAGAGGCTCTGTGATGTTCCCCATTCCCTCTCCGCTCTACGTCCTTGTCCCTCTGATTTCAGGGCTCCTCGCTGTCCCCCCAAGTCCCTCGCGAACGCTCCCCGCGCAGTCCCGCCAGCGGGAAAAGCGCCCCGGAGAGCGGGCCCGGGTAGGGGTGCAGCGGGTCCTCCAGGTGGTGTCGCCCCGCAGCTCCGCTTACCTTTCATGGTCCTTTTGGCCAGAGTCTCGGGAGGGCCCCGCGGCGGGCGGCTGGAGCCTGGCGGATGCAGCCGGCGGGACCTCCCCGGGCACCGGGTCTCCGCCTTACGCGCCGCCCGCGGGCGTCATGCTGGGGACGAGGCTTGGAGAGACGAGGGGGGAGGGGAGGGTCCCTCGGGTCGCAGTGGGGACGCCCCGCCGGGCGCCTAGCGCCGCCGCCCGCCCGAGCCCGGCGAGGTCTGCGCCGCCCCGCGCCCCGCGCCCGCCTCTCCGCCCGCGCGCATCTCTCCCTCCCTCCCTCCCTCGCTCGCTCGCTGCTTCCCTCCTTCCCTTCTTCCTTCCTTCCCTCCCTCCTCGTCACTCCTTGGGCCCCGGCCCAGATCAACTTCCTTGGTATTTTCAAAACTGCCGCGCGGCCGGGCCTCTTTGTGAGGCTGCAGCGGGGGGGAGGCGGGGCGCACGGGGCGGGTCCCGGGGTCGCGGTCCATCTCCGGGACTTCGCTCCCCGCACCGCCTCGTGGCTGGGGGCTGGGGGCGGAGACCCCGGATTTTAGCTTTGCACTTTTTTCTCCGAGGTCCAGGGACAGGGACAAGGAAGGATTCCTGGGTTTTCATCCCCAGCCCTAGCTGTTGGTTTTGCTTCCCTTACTACATCCGAAACAGTCTAGGATTCTTGGTCACCCTTGGGTCACCCTGGTGCTTCCCTGTTGCAGCCCAGTGACTCCGGGGCAGCCACTTCCTGTCTCTGAACCTTGCCTTGCCAGAGGAAATAGGGCGTCCGGGCTCCCAGATTCTGCTACCGTGCTTGTGGTGCTTGTGGTGGGGCCTCAGGTGTAACAGTGACATCAGGGGGGAAGTGACCTCAAACAAAGAGTTGTCTTTTGTCATAAACACGCGCCCTGTGTTGCTGTTTGGTGACTGAGCACAGTGTGTTGAGGACCTGCCAGGCCCCAGGCTGTGCCCTAAACCCAGGAGAAGGTGGGGCCAAACCTGGTAGATCAGCCTGGTAAGCAGCAAGGGAAATCAAATCAGCAACTGTACAAACAGGGGCGGGGCGGGGTGGGGATGGAGGTTAGCAGGAAAGCACAGGGACAAAGGGGACCCCGGGTGGGAACTGCCCAACCTGATTTCTTGGTTGCTCCTGTCAACCCCTGTTCCACATTCTTACACTTCAGGCCCACCCCGTCATAGCTGGAGTGAAGCCACCGGAGGGGGGACAGCTACCCTGTCACAATGCCCCGTAGAGCAGAGAGGACAGGTGCTCAGTTATCTCCAGTCAGTCCCACCTTGTGGGCAAGCTGACAGTTTGAGAAGTGCATTCTCGGTGAGCTCAGTAACCTTGAGGGAGAGAGGCCAGGGACTGTGCTGCCCACTTCACAGGTGAGGAGACAGGTTCAGAGAGGACACCACCTGCCCCACACTAGTCACAAAGTACTGCGACCTTGTATCTGGATTCCAAGTTGGCCACACGAGCTTGAGCCTGTCAGGACTGTGGCATGGGTCTGAGAGCTGCTTTGTAAGCCCCAGAGAGCCATTCTCATGGGTCAAAGGGAGCTTTGTCTTGGAGCATCCCTGTGCATTTAACTTGTTTACCCCTCCAGCGGCTCTGTGAGATAAGGAGCACCTTGCCTTCTATTTTCAGATGAGGAAACTTAGTGTGGAGAGGCTAAAGGACGTGCTTAGAGCTCACTAGTAAGTGCGATCTTGGGGTTTGAACCCAGGAGGGCCAAATCCAGTGTGTGTGTGCTCTACTGCAGAGACCACACTGCCTCTGCAGACAGAAGCACAGGTCTTTGTGCACAGAAAGAACAAAAAATGACTCTTGAATTTAGACACGCCTGGTGTGAGGGGTGCCACTCCTATTGCTTCTCTGGCTGTTGAGGATATCTGGACCCTGGGCCGTTGCTGTGATCACGCAACTGAATCTGTAAAGATCTGGAAGCTGTCTCTTCTGGCTGCAGATGAGCCCTGGGTGAGCAGAGCAAGTCCCAGCCTTGCAGAGGTAGACGATGAACTCCAGGTCCCAAGAGACTCTGGGGAGAAGAGCCCAACTTTGTGGGGTGACAAGAAAGGGCCAGGGAAGAGTTAGGAGACAGCAGGGTCAAAGTGTCTGAGTGGTCAGAGCAAAGAAGAGAGGAAGAGGAAGGTGCAGCAGAAGCAAGGCTGAGTCTCAGAATAAGAGAGGAGTCGGAACCCATGGAGGTCACCTAGCCTTTGGGGGACCAGCTTCCAGTGTAGTGGGCATTTTCAGGCATGTCCTACCAACAGCCAGAGGGGTGGACCCAGGGCTAACCAGAAGGTCCGCACTACCCTGGAGATCAGATTGGGGGCCATGGGACCCGGCCAAGCTAGGAGATGAGGGTGGAGGCAGAGGCGGCAGGCACTGGGTGGAGTGGGGTGGCAAGTGACAAACTGCTTAGTATTGTTTTCACCTGAAACACTGCCCGTCTATGGGCAGCTGATCACACTGCACATGGCTTATGTGCAGGAAGGAAATGGGGAAAGAGCAGGGGCCAACTTGAGTGTGGTTGTGCACGCCTGTGATCTCAGCACTCTGGGAGGCCGAGGCAGGAGAAGGGCAAGTTCCAGCCCAGACTGGGCAGTTTAACAACTCAGCAAGATGCTGCTACAAAATCAAACATAAATTTAAAAACGGCTAGAAATGTAGCTTAGTGTGAAGGCCTGGGTTCAATCCCCAGTATCAGGAGAAAGAAAAAGCAGAGGTCATTTTTAAAGGGGGAGAACTAGAGAATTAGTCACAAATGTGGCGCTCTATGGGTTCAGGAGGCTAGAGTCCACCCCGTATTCTAAGAGGTGCTACCATTGATGCAGAGTGTTTCTGCTCACACCAGGCCCCTGCTGCAAAGCCCCCCAAGGGGTTCCTCGGGCACAATTTCTCTTTCTTCTTCAGGCTAGAAACACCCTTCTTCCACCTAAAGCTCAGGATCTGCACCGCGCGCCCCCTCACCCCCTGTAGCTCCTTTCCCACAGGGGCCCCAGGCAGTAGTGCCCCTTTTATCTCCTGGTTCACACCCCAGCCCTCCTCAGGAGGTGGCAACAGTGCTCAATGCTCATGCGAGTCACTCTCTTCCTTGTGGTTGCCTAACAGCATAATGGCCTTACCCGTAACCTCTCTGACCATGTCGTAGCAGGTAACAGGTCCCAGGCACAGCTACCTAGAGAAACAGAGCAACAGGATGAGGTCTATACGGCCACTGTCACTCTTGTCCTCAGAGATGTGTTCCAAGGCCCCCAGGAGATGCATGAAACCATGGAGAGCACCAAACCCTATAGACACTGTGTTTTTCAATATATACACACCTCCGATAAACCCCAAAACCAGGCACAGTCAGAGGTAGCAACTAATAATCAGAGAACAGTTACAAGGATGCAAAGTTGTGTGAATGTGGCCTCTCTCTCTCTCAAAATATCTTATTGTACTCCACATACGAGCAGGCAGGCAGCAGGCACAGCTAGGGGACACTGGAGAGAGGGATGATTTGTATCCCAGGAGGGACAGAGCAGGGTGGTGTGAGAATTTATTATGCCACTCAGAACCGCCTGCAATTTAAAGTGTATGAATTGTTTGGGGAAATTTCCATTTAATATTTATGGCTCGCAGTTGACTGCCATAGCTGAAATAATAGAAAGCAAATGCACACAGAAGGGAGAACTACTGTGTGTACCTACACACACCCACACCTAGGGCACTCCTATACATGTACACCTCTCTGCATCTACACCGGTATATACGAGGGGAGAATGCAGATAACCACAGAGATAGACACTGTAAGGAACTGGCTCATGTGATGGTGTGGGCCAGCAGGTCCAAAAGTGCCGGGCAGGCCAGCAGGCTGGAGACTGGGGAAGACATGAAGCTGCAGAGGCTGGAGGCTATCCAGAGGACCTTGGGTGTTTTGTTTGTAGTACTGGGATGGAACCCAGGGGCAGGCACTCTACAACAGCGCTAAATCCCAAGCCCTTTATTCCTTTCCTCTCCTTTCCTTTCCTTTCCTTTCCTTTCCTTTCCTTTCCTTTCCTTTCCTTTCCTTTCCTTTCCTTTCCTTTCCTTTCCTTTCCTTTCCTTTCCCTTTTTC